TCCCTCTCATAGATCCTCATCCTGTAGGATCCCCTGTACTGTTTGGAAGGATAATTACTCAATGACGCTAAACAAGAATGATAATATCACATTTTTCTCTTTATACCTACCAAAGGGATCATACGGCAAGATTTAATCCCACCACTCAGGCCCATCGTACTCATATGGTCACCAAATTCTCCTCTTCTAATGAAATACTGGTTTCCAGTGAAGTTGGGGCGGTCGTAGACCACGAAGAATCCATACTCCACTCTGACGGAGTTGCACCTGTTCAGGTGGGAGGACATGTCGGCGCAGTCACCATTGCTCTCATAAGAGCGACCCTGGCAGTTTTTATCTTCATAGAAGATAATCTGCAAAACAAGGGTTGCATCAAGGAAAAATACAGATTTACTTTTGAAATATCTATTTATCAACAAATAATTTCACATTCCTGGATATTTCGAAGCTTACCTTGCCCTTGCTCATGTCAACTGTGTCCATGTTTGTAGGTTCAATGCTGCTGATAATGCTGCAATGCTCCTCTGTCTGATTTTACCCATGTTTTATACCTGACTCTCCCCTACAGAATCAGTGGCCCCCCCATTGTTTAAAACCCTTACTCTGCAGTGTGGTATAGAGCCCTTTAATGGCTGCAGTTCTTTAACATAATCAGATGTCTGGGCCCTCAAAGACTTTAGATATACATCCTGACAACACACATCATGTCAAGCTTAAACAAAGCATTCTTTATCTATGCTTCCTATCCGCTTCCCCTGCTCCCCCCCTCCCAGCAAAAAAAAACATATGCCTAAAGACTGGATTTACTCTGAGTAGAACACACTCCTAGATAAAGGGGAATATGCAGACTTCCATCTATGACCACAACACTTGTGTAATAGTAAAATTAATCAGCCCTATCCAACCGTCTGGATCCCTCGATCATCCAATCAAATTCATATTTTTAATTTAAAATTTAAAGTAGAGAAAGAATGTTTTTTGTGAAAAATGGTTGCATAATTATTAATTAACTGAAGGTTTTCAACCCTTTTTTTGACCAACTGTAAAACAAAGTTCATAATTTTATGTGCTGTAGAGCTTTTCTTTAAAACATTTTTACATCATTTCATACTAATTTTTTATTATTTGCATGAAATAA